CACGTTTGATATTTGATGTTGGGTTCCACCAAAATTTACCGCCCCCCTTGAGTATCTAAATCTTGATAATTCCTTTAATTTAGGATGGTAAGGTTTGCGAAATCTAATAGGATTTCAATACGAGATGACAATTCAACGATTTAATATCTCAAGTCGTGTCCATTTTCGATTTGAAATTCTCGAGTTGTCATTTGACATTGTCTTCCTTGGTTAGCCTCCTCGTGACTCGTGAGGACTACTTGTTAGAGAGTGGTATAAGATCCAACATAACCTTCTCCCAACAACTTGAGTTATTGGGACTAACTGGTTTATGACATGGTATCAGAACCTAGAACCGAAAGGTCATGTGTTCGAATCTCCACGACCCCTAATATTAACAGTTGATTAAAAAAAAACACAATGTATGGTTGGCCTGTGCAAACTTTAAGTCCATGGGTTGACTTTCGTTTGAGGGGGCGTGTTAGAGAGTGATATAAGATCCAGCATAACCTTCTCCCAACAACTCGAGTTATTGGGACTAACTGGTTTATGACACTACCATCCTTGCTTTTATATTTACCCTGTGAACATCACCATTGTGGAAAGAGACCCCACTATTTCCGCTACTGGAATCGCTCTCTTGAACATGTGCGATGAAGGATTGATATTTAGAGACCGATTAATTAAAGAGAGTCGGTTGATAACTTGGAGGATTTAAGACAAAATTAAAACACAACTGTGTATGATTTTTTTTATAAAAAAAAATGAGTCAAGAATTGTGAAATTTGAAACGGACAGAGAGGAGATTAATTAAGGATGGAAGAACCAACCCTAATTTGTTCCCTAATTCTCTCACGAATTGTGGGAGCTAAGATTCTAGGTACAAGGCTCTCAAGAAGGACGATGAAAGATTTGTGGCAACAAACGAAGATTTTTAGCCCTAAGGAGAAGAAATTGGGGTCTATAGGTAGGGTATTTCGACATTTCATATATACAATGAGTTATCATCCTCCGTGGAATCAAATCATTTAACAAAAAAATGATAGAAAATTAGACGAAAGGCGAACCTTGAGAATGAAGCATAATAGGATGATGATGATACAAGAAAGCACATAAAATACATGGAGGGTACAAACTTAGAAATAGGTCATAATGTAAAGGCAGAACTCTTCCACTACCAATGTGTAATCCCTTTGATAGGTGTAGAAGTGTACATTAGCATTAGTCACTCAAAATTAGAGGAAATGATAATTGAAGAAAAAAACTTTGAAGAACAAACAAAGCAGAGGCTGGACCTGAAGGTTACATACAAGCCCATGTGCGGCCCACTTGCCACTACTTGGATCTCGTGGGCCAAGGCCCAAGCCTATGAAGGAGAAATTAGGGTAGAGGAATCATCATGGGTATTGTAGTATATGCTTACCTCTGTCCTACCCTGAATGTTCATTCAGGACTTCAGGTGCATATAAAACTTCATCCCACCATTTGCTGTTGTCTACAAACATTTTATTTCAAGCTAACAATCGACATTCGTCGAACTTGTACCGCGTAGACATGACCAGAGCGATGAGCAGACGGAGGTACATTCGATCGATCAGACGAGGGAAGGTTGCCAATCCAGCGTTTCACCAGCAAACATGGGCACAATCTCTCCAAATGAGAATGAGAACGACTCCGGTACCTTCCATGGAGTCTTGGCGAGTTTGACTCTTGATGTATTTCTGGGGAGGCCGTAGAAGTCCGGCCCATTGAAGCTGGTGAATGCTTCTAGCTTGTCAAGTGCTCCAGCCTATAACAAGCTCAAAAAGAAACCATGTAAAGTGACACAGTATTTGTTTAGGGCATAACTTGTAAAGCTTAATACAGAGGACTCGTAAACCGGTTCAGTTAACCAATAAACAGTTAATCGTTATGTCCATATTACATGTAAGTATGTAACAGAAACCAAACCTTCACTGTTAATGGTTAACCAAAATCATTTGCTAACTGACTTATAACCGACAAGAATGACCGTTATGGTGTTTAAACCGGTTAACCAGGAAAACCGAAATCCATTTAGTAGCCCTAAGTTACAGACACAGGAAAAGAAATCACCTCTTCGAAAACCTTGGTGTATGCTGACAGGGCAACAGGGGCATTGTAAATGCCAGCGCATCCGCAAGAAGACTCTTTGCATTGCTTCTCATGAGGTGCACTATCGGTTCCAAGGAAGAATCTTTTACTTCCACTAGTCACAGCAGAAACGATTGCCTGTCCTGGAAAGGATCAACACAAATAAACAGACATTACTCATCATCTTGGGAGAGTTCTTATACATATAACATATATTCTGAAGCTCTATGTTAACCCCCAACTGTTGCTTACTATGAAAAGACCAACCGACAAGAAACTTAACAGCAAATAACAAGTTCATTTGCAGCAAAAGCTTAGCAAACACAACCATAATAAATTTAGCTTCGTAACATACGATGGGTTTCTCGTTTGAGTACTGGAAGGCAGTAGTTATGCGGCTGCAATCCTCCTTGGAAGATAGCATTTCTATTTAGAAGAAGATGCTGAGGAGTGACAGTTGCTGCAACAAATCCTACAAGGTAGAAGTACAAGGGAGCACATTGATCAAAATGTCTATGACGAAACAACTGTAAGCAAGAGCACTCAGCAGAAAATCAAAGAAGTCTTCGACGAATAGTTAGCATACCTTCACTACAGGATTCAACGAAATCAGCAGCATCCTTTGTTGTGATATGCTCCATGACAACCTTTAATTTGGGAAGCCTCTTGATTAGAGGCTGTAATATAGTTTCGATAAAGACCTTTTCACGATCGAAAATATCGATTTTTGGATCTGTGACCTCCCCGTGGACCTGAAGAAACAACAAGAAATGAAAATAGAAAGTTGAGCTTAGTCCAAGCTGCTGTTAAAATCGAGCTTCTGAGTCTTGAGAATGATTTAATAATCCAACCAGCACAGGTTTATGCAAGTGAAAATATTCTACAGCTATGTGAGCTATATCTTATATCAATTGGAGCTCTGAAGGTCGCTTATGGTTCGAAGAAAGGTGTTCTATACAGTACACTGTCAGTACCTGACGATTTAATGTATCATTTCTAGGCAAAGACGAAACGAGACTGACTTGATCATCCAAAAAACGGCTCTCTTCATCAACATAATACACCATTACTCTTACTGAAGAACCCACCATTGGGTTAATAATGACGCACATTCAAGAAGAAACAGAATGAAGCAGTAACCCTACTAGAAACACCGAAGCACTTTCCACAAGAAAAGAAAAAGAAACACCAAAGCATAATCAGCTAGTCAAACATAGTGGAAGTGTGAGAATACCAGTAAAGGCATATTCTGCTCAACCATCTCTTCCAGCACAGCAAGACATTCCCCAAAAAGATCAGTAACCTCATCTTGGGAATTTGTGGTAGCACCAGCAGGATACAACTTCACACCATAAACAATCCCACTTCTTCCTATCAACAGAATCAGAACAACAATCATTACAAGACTATCCACAAGTCTTCCATTTCAAGTGGAAACAAAATCTGTGCTTACTGATAAGCAGGAAATGCAAAGATCATTCAAATGTATGGCATTTGGAAAAGACAGCAAATTGCAATGACATTAAACTAAAACCCCAAAAGTGGATCAAACAAATAGACATTTCAAATGGGATAGTCAAGAACTTGGGCTTACTTGCAAGCTTGATCTCCTCAGGGCTTGTCTTATCCGTCAAATAAAGTGTCATGAGAGGAGAAAAGTTACTACCAGCAGGCAGGGTTTTCATAATAGAATCTCTGTAAGCAACGGCTGCTGCAGTGGTGGTAATGGGCGGCTTCAGATTTGGCATCACAATCGCCCTTCCAAAATGACTTGAGCTGCAAAGTGCAGACTCATGAACCCAATCAGTTCCCCTAACCATCAGAAGCTCTTGTTCTTCTATTGATCAAACTAATTCAGTTAATTGCTAGTTGCTACTACCCACATCAGACACAGCATTAAGATTCTCACCTGTGGGGCGCAACAGCTTGAAGAAGGTCCCCGTCGCGAAGGTGGAGATGCCAGTCATCCGGCAGGGTGATGATTAGCTCCTCCGCCATTGATGCTCTGCACTTCAACTTCTGTCTAAAACCTTTCGGCTTGCCAATGGGGATTTTCCGTGCCTGGAAGAATTTTACTATTGATTGCGTTATCAATGAAACTCATGCGAATCTCAGGTTGAATGAGAGGGAAAGGTGGAGTATTTTAGTATACCTGGCCAGTGAAAGCTGGAGTCTTTTTAAGTTTTAAGTGTGACTCATGTGCATTTATTTAATTATTATTATTATTAGTTAATTATGGGTTGTTAGGGGTGGGATTATCACGTGGATTAGTGGGTGCAATTAGTGGAAGGTTCCGATTTCACTAGTTAGGATTTGCAGATCAAGTTCCCTAAATTATATGCAATTAGTTGTAATTTACTTATTTAAGATGTAGGAGACTAGGAGTAATCATTAGTGTACACATTATGAATTGAGCATAATTAAAAAAAGACTAAAGAGGATTTACACACGTATGTGTTATTGTTAATTTGGGAGGTTGGGTTTCCTCGAATTAAGCTATTCTATTTATTTATTTATTTTCCATTCTTCTTCCATAACAACCCCTTCCTAAATCTATTCTCCGAAAAAATCCATATAACAACTTGGTATCAGAGTCGACGGATCATATTATTATGGAGGCCAGAACGAAACAACTAAATTCGACATTTGAGGAGATTGTGCAAGATAATATTAGTTGTGAGTAGTGAGTGGTTTTATCATTTATGTGGATTTGGAAGCACCCACTACAGGATGGATGAAGGAGAAAATTAATCACAGCAGACATAATGCAATGTTGATCCGATCATTCATGAATCATGCTACAATTTCTTTTACTTCTAAAATTGAATTCTTTCGATCATTGGACCGCGGTTCTCATGGGACGATCCTCTCCGAACCGGACGGACAGGTGCACACCATGCCCAACTGAATGAATGGGCTTTCTCCTTTGACCCTTTGGGTTCAGTTAAGGCCCAATTATAAGCCCGCAAGCAAACCAAGAAAGAAGCTCCTAAGTATTTTCACCGGGCGACGAAGCGAAAATTGAAGAATCCTGTTTTCGCTAGAAGGAGGTGGTGATTCGAAGGAAGGAAGTGAAGCTGAAGCCGGAAGATGCTGAGAATCTGCAGCAAGCTCCGCTCTTTAGCGGCGCAATCCTCTAATCGATCTCCAATCTTCCTACCCTCTTCTTCCCGTCGCCTTATTCTCCACTCTTCTCCATTGATTTCATGTAAAGGCCAGCCACTCCATTCCGCCGCTGCTTCTACTGCTTGGAGTCTTTGTGGGCAGCTCCTCAATGCGTCTAAATCGTCCCCTGTGTTGCCGTCTCAATCTGTCTCATCGCCTTTCTCTGTAAGCTTCTGAAGTTCTTGCTCCCTATTGGTCATTCTGAATTGCAAGTAAGGTGACTGACAAAATGCTGGAAAGAAGTGCACTTGAATCCTCATTTGAGCGAGAATTTGGATTGGATTTTCAATTTAGAGTGTTCCTCGTATACGAATTGAGTGTTGGAATTCTTCATTTGAATATAGTTGGTGGGTGTCCGAGGTGTTTCATCGAGGGAGCGGAAGAAGAGGAGGAAGCCCATGACACCAGTCACCTCCAAAGTTAAGAAGATAAAAATGAAGGGCTACTCGTAAGACATGAAGCAGTTACTTGGAAATTTGAGTGTCTCGTTTGTTTGCGATGTTTAATGACTTCCATTTCTCAATCTATGACATTTCAGTTCCTTCAAGGGAAGATTTCGTACCCTGAATGATGGGACTATCCGGCGATGGCACGAGGGTAAGAGGCACAATGCACACTTGAAGGTATGGCTTTGATCATTTTTGCTATCCCTTTTATCTTTCACTTGTCTGCCTAGCATTCAGATCATACACCCCTTTGTGCTCGCAATAGAAGCTTGTTCCCTTCTGCCTTATCATAAAGTAACTGGCTAGTTATCCTTTTCCCCATAACCCGAGACCGACCAATGCTATGAAGTTGTTTCATTAAGTCAGAACTTGATGCATCAGTGCCAAATTAAGTTCACCAACAATATCCTATCTTGCACCGTTGTTATGTCAGGGATAGATACTAAAGAGTTGCATTTCTTGTCATTGCATATTACGAGGCTGATTCATTACAACTTTGTCTGTTCTTTTGCTGTACCAACTTCTCCATGATTCTTCTGTTATCCCACCCCCCAGACTCCCTCAACATGCATTAGCTACTGTTGTTAGTTTACATACTTAAACATGTTTCCTGGCTGTTACTGGTAAGCCACTGCCCACTAGGGTTGCTTTTTTTCAGAAGTTACTTGAAACTTGGTTCGTGTTTGTAAGCACATAAATGCTTGGTGGCCCATATAGGTTTATGGAACATCTTACGTTTTCCTAGGATTTTGAAGTGAAATTTAGACCATGTTTCTAAGATGAAAAGTAGGGGTTTTGCATGGCTTTAAAAGTGTATCTGATAGTGTGAGAATGATTCTATACATTACACAGGATCCTTAGCATCATGTATAGCTGGGTATAGGCATGCTTCATTTTGTAGAATCGGGTTTCTATCTGGATACAATCAACTGTAAAGGTATCATCACCTACAAAGAAAAATATTGTAATAGGCACTTTATAATTAAATCTGAAAACGAAAACTAGCCAATTAAAGAGTCCTACACTACGCATAGGAGGATATTATTTCTTACCATTCTGCCCTAGTTTCATTCTAGTTTCTAGCTCAAAAGGGATATTCACTTGTACTAATTGAGGACAGGGACTTCAACAGCTGTTATCTGAAACTTAGGACCTCAAATGACAAATGGCTTTGAAGCACATGTTTGGTAATTTATTGACTGGATTATGAGAGTTAGTTCAAGAAGCTTCTGCATGTGGAAGTTCATAGACATGTGTGTGGTGTTGGGTAAGAGTAATACAATCAGCTATCTAGTAGAAAAGAGATGCACCTGAGTATTTTTAGACACTTCAGGAACAAAGTTGATTCGCATCGACAATATTACCTGCTTGTATGGAAAGATTTAAAAGAAATAGGCTTTCATTTGGAAAAGCACATTTCAGGTAGAGATGTTTGAATAATGACAAGACAAGCATTTAATCTAATTGAATCCTTTTCGTCTGCACATAACGTTTTATTAAGATAGCTCCATTTCAGATAGCTCCATTCTATGTTTATATTGAATGGTTAACGATTCTTTGTTACTTGCTGCAGTCGAGCAAAGCAAAGCGCAGGCTTAGAAAGCCCGCTATAGTGCCAGCAGCTTATGCAAAGGTCATGAAGAAGCTTAATTTCTGTGCATGAAGTGAAGCATGCATCTTCTCTATTCAACCAATTTGGATTCAGCCATGGGCTGGGAGCGCTTGGAGTTTCGCTACGAATGTAACACTGGTGGCGATCTCATAGTTCCCTCTCGAACTTTGTACTTCTGTTGGTTGACGAAGATTCGACAATTTCCCAGTTTACACTTTGCTAGGTCAACGGTGCTCGTTGCAATCTGGAATACATATTTGTTCAGATTCCTCCCCGTCAGCGTTGAGAAATAGTGACAAGTAGTATATCTTAAATCTTTCATTTGCCTAGCTTGGTGGAGCTGTTACTGTCTTTATTTTTCTGTTTTGCCTGTAATTTTGTCACCAAGGTAGACTCAGTTATCTCATTTCCTAGAAAAAGAGGGTGTTCAGAGTCGAAAAATTCAGAACCCGAAACATATGCTGTAAAGAAGCAAATAATAGTTGCCTTCAGGATTTTCAGCACGAGTTAGGCATGTCGACTTAGCAGAGTTAGCACTCTTTCACAGAATAGAATGCCTTATGGGTAAGAGTTTTTACACTCAGCATGCATCCTTTTTTCTGTAAGCAGACAGAAGAACGAACTGTCTGCACAAAGAAACACCAGCGAGCATCGTAGATGAAACAAGCAGCCAGCCAGAAAGTCTTTCCATCTGTTATGCTGTCTTATAAAAACTGAGTTCCATTAAGGAGAACATCACGCTGTTTGTGAGAACTTGCTTGCGAATTTATAACTCAGGAAGCTGGCAAGTTTAGTTGGGTTTAATTCTATTCTAAAACCATAGTAAACAGCTTGATTGAATTGTGAAAGACCAGGGTCAGAAATAGATTTACGATTCGCTCAATTATTATTTTGGTAATGATATAGCAAGTAGGCAGATTCAGAACAAAGGAAACCTTCTTCAGAAGAATTGAACTATGTATTGTGGGGCTGATCCAGTTAAGGAACAACCCTCCAAAAATAGACGTATGTCTCTTTATGCAGCGCGTACACGGTATTCTTTAGTAAAAGGCGAAAGAATAGTTCGCTATGTACTCACTGCAAGGCTGAGTGAGAATGGAAGACAGGTTAGAGCTCGGTTATATAGCTAGCTGTGGAAAGGATGATGGTTGTTCTTCAGTCCACTACCGATGTGGTTTTTCAACATGGATGAACTCCATTAGCTCCATGATGGCCATCTGCAATGACCTAATGAAAGTGAGTATTCATGTGATCTTTCACTTATTCTGTTATCAAGTTAGTTTCTGGTGTTAATTCTGCTTGTAGTATTCGTTCTCCTGAGTCCATCACCGGTGTAGTATTCGTTCTGCGAAAGCTCCTCCAACCATGATAACCCTTTGAACTACTAGGGATTCATTCCGTGAATACAAGTATGGCTTCTGATGTTGATTCAAGCAACTGTCTCTCATCCTCTCTGACACTTCCTCGAATTATCGCAGAAAACGAAGCTGATGGGAAGCAGAAAGAGGAACCGAATGGTCTGTGCACAAAGAAACAGTCGTAAATGGAACAAGCAGCTAGCCAGCAAGAACTTCAATTTGTGGTGTTTGCTGGGAAATTGCTTGTGAACTTACAACTCAAGAAGCTGCAACTTTAGTTGCACTATTATTCACTGGCACTATTATTTGGGCTTGCGATGACATCAAAACAGCTTCTTAACAAAGAAAAGATCGAACTGTTGAACTAGGTATTGTGGGGCTGATCCAATTAAGGAACAACCCTCCAAAAATAGACGTATGCCTCTAATTAGCAGCGCACACACGGTATTCTTTAGTAAAAGGCGAAAGAATAGTTCGCTATGTGCTCACTGCAAGGCTGCGTGAAGAAAACATTAACGTTGGAGTTGGCTTATATAGAATTCTGTGTCAGGGAAGGCAGTGGTATTATGTCATTCATCGATGTGGTATTTCGAAGGCCATGAATGCAATGCTGCTGCACTAGGATAAGCTGTAGTATGGAGATTATAGTCTCACCAGTCAATAAGCTTGCAGAAAATAACATCTGGAATTTCGCATTTCGTTTTATCTACCGTTCATGAAAGATCGAAACCCGCCTTTGTCGAACCTCCTCTAGTTATTCCAAACTAGTTCGAAATTTGCTACAAGCTCAGAAAGCTGCCATGGTTTTAGGAGTATCAAATCTGGCCCTTCAGGGCAAAGCTATTATCTTTAACACAGATGTGGAGAAGATGAAGCCCCCATTTCTTAGGGTCTTGCTGAAGGAATCCAAAATTGTAAGAACTCTTTTTCCCCTCTGTGATCCTTTCTGGTCTCTAGTTCCACTGGTGAATTCTCTTTCAGCTACATGGTTTTTGAAGCTGTTCACTAGTCTGGTTGTCAAATCTGCTTCCAAAGCTGAAAACTTTTGTCTATGTTTGTTTGGAGTTTCAAAAAAAGAAGGCAGCAAATGTGTAGAATCTTAGCTCGGAACTAGCTTTCTTCTGTTGGCCTGCACTGCAGAACGTGCAAGTGCTCAATTCATTGCCAAGGTTTGTTTCTAATCCATGATTATTAGTTCAGGATATGCAGAAGAAAGACTTAACGCAGAATTATTCTTCTCCCAAATTTCTGCAGCGAAGCATATGCAGAAGAAGAACAAAATGACGGTGTAGAAGAAATGAAATGACTGCCCTTCTGCAATTTATTTTAGAAAGAAGTGACTGCCCTTCTGTGGTGTTTGCTAGAAACTTGCTTCTAGACTTGGTACTCAAGAAGCTGGTAAACAAGAGCCAATCAAGCTGCTGAACTAAGAATTGATGGGGTGATCCGATTAAAGAACAACCCTCCAAAAATAGACGTATGCCTCTATGCACAGCGCGTACACGGTATTCTTTAGTAAAAGGCGAAAGAATAGTTCGCTATGTACTCACTGCAAGGCTGCGTGAAGAAAACTGGACAGTTCGAGTCGGCTTTTATATAGATCACTGTGCCAGTGAAAGCAGTGCGTCTTACGTTCAGCATCGATGTGGTATTTAATTTTGCGGGAGGTACCGGATGCAAATGCTGCTGGCATTAGGATACGCTGTAATGTGTTAGATTTTACTCTCCCCAGTCGATTAAGCTGCAGAAATTTAGGAATAGATCGATACATTTTTAGTATCCTGGTTCAAAATACACATCTTCAGAACCAAAAAACAGAGCACCACTGACCGATATAAGAAATTAAACTAGGTATTGTGGGGCAGATCAAATTAAGGAACAAACCCTCCAAAAATAGACGTATGCCTCTGTTAAGCAGCGCGCACACGGTATTCTTTAGTAAAAGGCGAAAGAATAGTTCGCTATGTGCTCACTGCAAGGCTGCGTGAAGAAAACAGTAACGGTGGAGTTCAGTTATATAGCCAAGCTGTGCCAAGGATTGGGTGGTCTTCAGTCCACCACCGATGTGGTATTTCGATATGGATGAACTCAGTTTGGCTCTATGATTAGTGTGATATGGCCATTTTTGTCCTCTGGGATTTCATTACTATGAACTAAGCGTTATTGCTTCTGATGTTGATATGATGTTTAGTTGTCCAGTCCTCGCCAATTCGATATGTACTCACGGCAATTCTGCATCAGAAAAAGGGACAAGTTCGACTTGGCTTGTATAACATGTTTCGATGGATACTATTGGATTCGATCGATGGATACAAGTTATGCTTCTGAGGTTTGATTCAAAGAACAATGGATGTAGAAACAGACAGCAAGTCTTTCCTTATATGCAGTTTCCTGTCAAGCTTTACAAGTAAAGGAGTTGGCAGCTGAAGTTGGATCAATTTGATTTCATTAAAGAGAAACCTCAAAACTTGTTGAACTAGGTTATTGTTGGGGATGGACCAGTTAAGGAACAACCCTCCAAAAATAGACGTATGCCTCTTTGTGCAGCGCATACACGGTATTCTTTAGTAAAAGGCGAAAGAATAGTTCGCTATGTACTCACTGCAAGGCTGCGTGAAGAAAACTGCATAGTTCGAGTTGGATTATATAGCATACTGTGCTAGGGAAAGCAGTGGTCTTAACGTCGTACGTCCATCATCGATTTGGTATTCAATTTTGGGAAATCACTGCAATGCAATGCTGCTGCATTAGGATATATGCTCTAGTATGAGAGATTTTACTCTCCCGTTCAATAAGCTTCTGCAGAAAAGAACATCTGGGATTCCCATTTCGTTTACCCACAGCTCCCGGCACGAAAGATCGAAGCCCCGCCATTGTTGAATGTCCCTCTGCTTATTCCAAATCAAGGTCCAATCTGACTTAAGGATTCTTCACCAGTTGTTCATATCAGCGAAGGAATTCTTCTGCTCAAACATTCTATTCTGCTGTTTCTGCAGTTCTTCTTTCAACAAACAGTACCCCCAAGTAAGATTGTAGCACACTGCACACAACTTCGCAAACAGCGCATGAAAACCTGACACTGGGCTTGTAATTTTTAACAAAAAGAAGGCTCAAGTAATAATTGGGCTTATAATAATTATTACAGCCCAATTGCATGGTTTTTG